AGGGAAGAATTAAAGGGTTGACAAAAAACTATTCCATTTTTTTTCTTCTTCTCATCTCTGTATGATACATAGAGAAATTTCTTCAAACCAAAGAAATTTCCAAAACACAGAGAAAATCAAAGAAATTTCTTTGAATTTCTCTAAGTTAGGCGAATTTTTTTTGAATTTCTCTGAATTGGGCCAAAATTTCTCTGAGTCGGGCGAAATTTTTCTAAGTTTGGGCCAAAATTTTGATTGATTTTCTCTAGCATTTGAATTTTCACTGACCCATCAAATTATGTTGCTTGTTTGATTTTCACTTGTTAGTTGTGTCCTTGTATGTAATTTTCCTCTTGAAATGAATTTTCTTTGACATCACAATTTTCTCTAAACACATTGGATTCACTTTACTTTATGTACCTTGCTTGATTTTCTATCGCTAGTTGTCTCTTTGATTTTCTCTCTAATTTTCTCTGGCATTTTAATTTTCCCTAACCACATTAAACTCCCACTAATTTGTGTTGCTTGTTTGATTTTCATTGGTTAGTTGTATCTTGAGCTGAATTTTCTCTGACATTTGAATTTTCTCTGAAAACATTAAACTCCCACTAATTTAGGTTACTTGTTTGATTTTACTGATTAGTTGTCTCATTGTGTGTAATTTTTCCTTTGAGATGAATATTCTCTAGCGCTAAGATATCCCTTTTAAATTAATTTTCTCTAAACACATTGGACTCTCTTTCTCTCTGTGCCTTGATTTTCTCTAACTAGTTGTCTATTTGATTTTCTGCCAAATTTTCTCTGGCATTTGAATTTTCCTTACCCACATTAAGCTCCCACTAATTTATGTTGCTTGTTTGATTTTTACTGAATTTCTAACTTCAAATTTTATTTTTGATCTTTTAGGATGTGTAGTGTTTGTTGTTTTTTAAACTATAATTAAATTTTGTATTCTAAGTTCTTTGATGAACTTAGCATGTGTTTTCTTGTAAAAAAAATATAGAAAAATTAGTTTGTGAGTAGCTCAATTTTTTCTGTAATTTTCTCTGATTTGTTCAAAATACAGAGAAAATTTTGAGCATATCAGATAAAATTGGTCAAAACACAAAGAAATTTGTGAGCAAATCAGAGAAATTTCAAACTAGAGAAATTAAATTTCACTGTGTTTCAAAATTTCTCTGGATTGAAATTTCTCTGCTTTGAAATTTCTCTGTAAAAGTTTGAGGAACCTCAACTATTGTGAAAATATATCATGTCCTTTATGCTATAAAATCTTAATATGAGGGACCTTAAAAAACATTTCCCATCCAATAACCGTAACTTTTTTATTTTATGGCATTTGTTTAAAAAAAGTGGATAGTCTATTTTCAATAATATATTTTCGTCTATTTTTTTCAAAAACAAATACGATAAAATGAAAAGATTACAATTATTGAATCAAACTAATTTTTCTTTTGTGTGAATGATATATCAAACAAGGTAAATTATTAATGATAATCCTAATTATGATTAAATTTTTACTAGGTTTGATGCCTTGATTTAGTGATGAAGGAGACCCCCAACTACGGGTGTCAATCTGGCTCGGGCCGGCCCATGTCGGGTCTCATGTGCTCCTGCTAAAATTTGGATCGGGTCGGGCCGAGCTGGCCCACGGGCCAAAAAATTAAGCCCAAGGATATTCGAGCCTTGGGCGGACAGGTGGGCTGTCGCAATGGGCTTGGGCTTGGGCTTGGGTGGGCCTGATCAATTTTTTATTTTTAAATTTTTTCTACCAAAATTTTATTATTTTTCATTAAAAAATATACTAGGCCTCAGGCTTCGGACCGGACCCTAAGTGGGCCGATGGGCCGGGTTTCAAAACGATGACCCGGGTCCTAGTCTAGGGGCTCAGACTAGGCTCGAGCATGGGCCCAAGCGGGCCTAAACGGGCCTGGCCCATCTTGGGTCATGGGCCATTTTTACACCCCTACATCCAACCATTAGGCTAGGTACTTTGCTCAACTGTAAATTGATTTATAAAAAATTTACAAAAAATATATATATATATATATATATTTCTTTTTCTCTATCTTTGAGTAGGGAATACTCCAATCTTCATTCTTCTTCTTTGTGCTTTTCTTGCCCTCCAAGTTGAAGAAAAGTTGGATAATATTCACACATCTGATAAGATACATGTATAAAATTATATTTTGATTTTTCCAAAGTTATGAAATTCATGAGTTTAAGTAATATCAATAAAATTTTTAAATATAAAATTCACAATTTTAAATCAATCAAATAATATATTATTGTTCACAGACCTTATCAATCAGTGTGTGTGGAAAAAAATGCATATTGCAACTTGCATGGAAGATTCATGACAGGCTAGACTTTGTCAATGACAAAAGGCCACAAATGTCTTTTGGGGGTCATCATCATGTAAATTACTTAGCACCTGCATCCCTTTCAACTCTTTCATTAGTTAGTTTTATTTAATTTTATTAATGCTTAGATGTTTTCTACATCTCTTGTCATGCTTCTGAGATCATGCCCTGATGTGAAGGAAATCATCACTTCTAGAATAATGTTTGCAAACATTATTCTAATAATAAAAGAGAAAATTACATTAGGCATTACAAGGAGCAGTTGTAAGTCAACAAATAATTCAAAAATTATCATACAACTGCTGATAGTAATAAAAATATTATTAGGCATTATAATAAAAATTATCATACAACTGCTAATAGTAATAAAAAATTATTAGGCATTATAATAGTTTTATTTGTTTACTCACAACTGCTGCGTGTAATGCCTAATGTAATTTTCTCTTTTATTATTACTTGTTTAAAAATAAATAAAAAGATATCCTCTTTTGTTAGTCACTGAACATTCATTTATTTATAGATTTTAAAAATAATATCTTTTCTTATTACATTATGTAATTTGTTACTATTGCATTAGAAATAGACATAACTGATAGAATCAATAAAACCAATAATTAGGCTTTGTTTGAGCTCATAAAACCCACCATAAGTCCTGTTTTCAAAAACACACTAATTTTTTTCGAAGCAATTACAAAAGTATTACAATTATTGAAGCGATCTAATTTTTTTCCATGGATGATATATACACGAAAAATCTGATAAAATAACTGATTCAAATTATCGAAATAAAACACATAATAGGTCTTATGGGCTCAATCAACTCTCTCAAGTTCATTCAAATCTAAGCATGAGGGAAATCCAACCCTTCAATCAATATAATTGTGACAAATTATATGATAAATAAAATATAATAAAAAATGTAATTATGATAACATATATGACAAATAATTAATTTTAGGAGGTAGGTGTCCAAATTAGACATAAAGCATTATATTAAGGGGTGTCATCATCTATTGATGTCCCAAAAACTGAATAAAAACAGAACACCAAAGGTTTGTCATGATAAAAATTACCCAACACCCACCCTTCCTTACATAGGTTTCCAATTCAGTTTCAGTAATCTTACAAATTCAGACATAAAAATTTAAAAATTATTTAAAAATTTACATTAATAATTTAAATTTATTTTATATGTGAATTTCAAATTTCATCAATTTTATTTCCGCTACATATATTTATTTCGAGATAAATTTGGAATCCCAAATTCTAACACCCTAACTTTTTTGATTTAGTTTTAGTATGATCAGTGATATTATAAAATCATCAATCATGTTTGAAGCTAATCTCACCAGTTGGTATCATGGTCAACCAAAAACGTGGCAGGATTTTATTGGAAGATATTCACACGTGGCATTATCTTAATGGATGGGAAGGGTCACTGGCCTCTCTGGAAGGGTGAACACTGAACAGAGCAGGAATCCATTCAATGTACCTCCTTTTTGTGCTCTGTACAAGGCCCACAAAAGTGTATTGTACTTAGCAAACCAAAAAAAAAAAAAAAAAAAGAGGAAGAAAAGTGGGGTTCGGACCATTTTTGTATTTTGTTTCTTACCTTACTTTCTCTGTCCTATGTAACTTCTTATCCAATTAAAATGAAGAAAAAAATTTATTAATATATAAAATTTATGATGTGTGAGTAGATTATTATAAATATAAATAATGTTTTGTTTTAAAATGAAATGTCACTATTAAATTACGTCATTATGAGTAAAAATTATATATAAATTTTCTTTTTATATATCATCACTAAAAAAAATAAGGCTATAGAGTTATATATATGATATGAAAAATAATTAAAATATAAAAATGAGTGGATCAAATTTATTTTTGGTGTCACCATGTTATATAATACTATAGACATTACATTTTATGCCTATTTTTTAGACTAATTTTTTTTGTTTCCATGACTTTTTTTTAGGATACCTTACTGTCCATCCTATTGATAAAACTTATTTACTTATAAGACGTGCTCTTTTTTTCACCTATTAATATTTTTTAGATGGAAAAAAATTGGAACAATAAGCATTTTAGAACTTATTGATGTATTAGAAAAGTGTACAAGATGTATAAGTATTTAAGTCCATCACATAGGATTAACTTATAATTTATCTTCTTTTTTCAAGGAGATGGTTGTTGTTAAATTCATTGGACCTACTATCATGATTTAAATCGTTTATTTTATAAGGTTTGCCAATAATATAATTCATTTAAAAAAATTTAAATTGATTAGATATCAGTAATTACATAATCAGATCACATTTATCTTATAAAATTAAACAACAAACAAGATTTTGACAATAGCTGTTTATTTATTTATTTAATACAAATATAATTTAATTATCAAGTTATTATGTTCGATTAATATAATTTTTTAATTTTTAATTTTTTTTTATTTATAAAATAAATGATTCCAATAATTTAAAGTGGGACTCTGAGTGAGCCCACCAATTTAATAACACATCACAAATTGAATAAACCAATTTTCAATGACGAAAAGGGCGAAGTCTTTCTAAATCCATTTTTCAATGACGAAAATGGTGAAGTCTTTCTAAAAATTCTATATATATACACACTGGTTAGTGGGTTATCTTCACACACTCAAAAGATATTCATTCATCCTCAGAAATCTTAGGAAAGACTAGTATTTCTCTACTCTCAAGGCTCATCAGCATGACGGTTAGCTTCTCCCTCTCTCCCTCTCTTTCTCTTTTGTGTGTTATTCACAAAGGAACATTCTAAACATATAAAAAATTTAATAAGAATGATATGGTAATATCATTATTGTAAATAAATTCATCTTCAATAGTGTTTTGTTTTGAAATAAAATATTCACAATGAGTCAAATCATTATGTCTGAAAATTATGTATAAATCTTTTATTTGTATGACATTATTCATTTGCAAATGCTTGATAACATGCAAAAATAGTAAGGTTTTGACATAGCTAAATATATAGTTAACCTTATTCATAAGTGTATTTATTTCAATATATATTGTTATGTATTCCGCTCTGATGCCGATCTGAACTCCCTAACACCTGAAAAGAATAAAATCTTAACAACAAAGGTGTGGTGTTAGTGTTGGTGTTGGTATAAGGTACTCTGACGATCAAATCAGTTGTTATAATGAGAAACTCTCTCCTTGTATTAAAAAAAAATTGCTTAACTTTTACCAGAAATGAAAGGAGAATATCTATAAGCTACGAGCACATGCTTAAAAGTGGTCTCGCATTCTATTTTGCTTTGAAACCTCCACGTATCCTCCTGATAGTAGAACGGTTATAACGGTTTTGTTGATTTGTGTGTCAACTGGGTTGGGTGATTGTATTATGGCCAATCAACAAGTTTTGTTTTGGTTATGGGCTGGACCAGGCTAGGCCAGTTGACCAAGCCGAGCCCATCTCATGTGGGCACTAACTGAGTTTTTTTCTATCGATTTACTCTAAGGCCTAGTTTGAAAACATCACTTTCTATTTTAAAAGTTAAAAAATCTTTAAAAAAAATCAAAAAATCAACAAATTAAACAAAAAAATCAAAGATTTCATTTTCTTTTTATTTACCAGAAATGAAAGGAGAATATCTATAAGCTACGAGCACATGCTTAAAAGTGGTCTCGCATTCTATTTTGCTTTGAAACCTCCACGTATCCTCCTGATAGTAGAACGGTTATAACGGTTTTGTTGATTTGTGTGTCAACTGGGTTGGGTGATTGTATTATGGCCAATCAACAAGTTTTGTTTTGGTTATGGGCTGGACCAGGCTAGGCCAGTTGACCAAGCCGAGCCCAACTCATGTGGGCACTAACTGAGTTTTTTTCTATCGATTTACTCTAAGGTTTGAGAACATCACTTTCTATTTTAAAAGTTAAAAAGTCTTTAAAAAAAATCAAAAAATCAACAAATTATACAAAAAAATCAAAAATTTCATTTTCTTTTTATTTTTTGTACATCTTTTCATGAGAAATCAAAAAATCATCATAAACATACTAATTTTTTTTGTCTCATATTTTAGCCAAAAATCAAAAAGTTATTAAAGTAATCTCTTCCCAAATATATATATATATATATATATATAGAAATTGGGACACTATTATGATGCTTCAAAAATAAAAAATAAAAAAACTTAAAAATAAAGAAAGTAATATAGATTTAAACTTGATTTCATGTCAGCTGCACTTGAAATAAATTTATTTCACACATTTTTATTTTTAAAATACTTTTTCTGAGTGTTCAGAATGCTGAGTATATTATGTGAAACCAAATGGTGCTGTTGATGTTCAGAAGTGCTATAAATTCCACAAGTCTTTGTGGGGCATGTCTCACTAAAATTCAAACTTAATCATCCTCATGGTGGGTCCTCATAGCTGTCTAATTGTAGGCATGATGATATATATTAACTATAACTATACTAGTCCTATATGAATTTTAAATCTCCAATGTTTCTTTGTTCATTCAGATTGTGGAGATGAGAGTGCACATGGACTGTCCTGGATGTGAGAGCAAGATTAAAAAAGCTCTTCAAAAATTAGATGGTACAACTCACTTCTTAATCTCCATCCCTCGTAATATATGGTGGTGGTTGGCAAGGGTTATTTTAGTCTTTTTCAAGTTAAAATTTATAAAAAGATAAAATAGATTAAAATAATTAATAAGATAAAATATTACATCAAATTTATAATGATTTTATTTTTTCTCTCACAAACATCATATTCAACTACAAAAAAATTCAATATTTCCAAACACAAATTTTAACCTACTAAAATAGCTAAAAATTAAAATAACCTACTAAAATAGCAACTTTCTAAACACCCACTACATGTATATATATATCCTTATTAAGGCTTCGTTTGGGAAGCCATGGTTTGAGTTTTTTTGGCTATTTTAGCCACAAAAAACAAAATAGGCTATTTTAGCCATAACAAACAAAACATCACATCCAACCCATAATCATTACATTCTTCTCTCACAAAAAAACTCAAAAAAGTCAAAAAGCCAAAAAGCCTTTTCCAAACCAAGCTTTTAAGCCTAGGCTAAAATAGCCAAAAAAATTAAAAAGACAAAAAACTAATCCACTTCTCAAACGGAGGCTAAATTACTTACGATTTTGTAAGTAAGAAGCCTTGATCATCCATGCAACCAACTAAAATATTGGGAAATAGGTTCTTAGAAGTGTTGATAGAGATAACATGAGTAATAAGATGAATACAAAATTTCTTGTTATCAAAGTCTTATATAGTTTGTTTGGTTTGAGTTTTCTGGATTAAATTTTTTAAAAATTGACTTTTTTAGTTTTTGTGTTTTTTTTATTTTTAGTGAATATTTTTAAAATTTTAAACATTTTTTTTACTTTTTTAGATTCACCTTACTTAAATGTATCTAAAAAATAAAAAAATTGTGAAAAAATATTTTAAAAAATTAATAAATACATAAAAATACAAAAAATATACTGAATTCTTGTATTTTTTTTATATTTTTGGTATTTAGTGAATTTTTAAAAAAAAATTACAATTTTTTTACTTTTTAGGTGTATTTATGTTAGGTGTGTCTAAAAAGTAAAAAATTGCTTAAAATATTAAAAAAATTCAATAAAAACAAAAAAATATGGAAAATAAAAAAATAGAATTTTTTGAAAATTATTTTTTAAAAAATAGAAACAAGCAAGGTGATAACTTTTTGAATTATTAGTTTAAGAGAATTAAAATAACTTGTAATTTTGTTTGGTGAAACATCTGATAATTTATTGAGAAGAGTTGAACATGTTTCATTAAATAAGTTGAAATAGTTGTTTTTTATTTTATTTATTTATTTATTTATTTTTGTGTGCGAATATCTAAAATACTTTCCAAAGTCATAATTCAAACAAAAGAGTTGGCTCTTTATTCATACGAATTTAAGAGTTTCAAATTAGAGGGGAAAAAAAATACAAATCTTAATTTTTAGGTCAAATATGCCAAAAAGTCAAAAAAAAAAAATATTCTAATTTAAAATTAGAACAAAACACCATTATATGCGAACAAAAGAGACCAATGTGTAGAACTTGTTTAGTGTAGCTTATTGAGACTACCTATAACTTCTTATTTTAAGATCAAATATTTAGTCCAATTTTTATTTAAAATTTATGAATAAAACAACTTAAACAAATTTTTTAAAAAATTAAATATTTATTGAAAAACTAAAAAGAGGTGATTTTAACTGTTGCTTTCTAATTGTCTGCTTTATGTAAACTATAATCACAACTGCCCTTTTTGGTTCGATTTGGCCATTGAGACATCAAACTTAACAGGGTTTGAATGTGATTTCAGGAGTAGATGATATTGACATAGACATGAACATGCAAAAAGTGAGAGTCACTGGTTGGGCAGATCAAAACAAGGTACTAAAAACAGTGAGAAAGACAGGAAGAAATGCTGAGTTATGGCCATTCCCATACAACCCAGAATACCACAGCTTCACCCATTATAATAATAATAATAATAATAATAATAATAATAATAAAATTAATAATTACCACCATGATGATCATCAGCAGATTCAGTACCATCATCAGAGCCGTCGAAAAGCAAAGTACTATCATCAGAGCCGTCCAACAGCAACGTACTACATGTCTCAGCCTTCCTCTTCTTCGTACAACTATCGGGTTCATGGATACAACGGTCATGACCATGGTTACTATCCTCAACCTCTTTATTCGACAATACTTGATGAGAAAACCAGTTCTATGTTCAGTGATGACAATACCAATGGTTGTTCTATAATGTGATGATGATTTATAAGTAGACATCAGTGTGTGTGCGCGCGCGCACTTGTGTTGATCTATTCAATAATATGTAATCTGTTTGTAAGAATGAGTGAATTGTATGTGCCTCTTTAGGCATTTTTGTGAATTATAAATCTTTGGTCTTTCTAATTTGGGAGCTTTATTTCTACACACTAAATGCACTCCATGCACACATTTAATGAATTTTTTAATTATTATTTTATCTTAAAATAGAATTACCATAATACCCCTGCCTTCTACATTTCAAACCCTATTTCTAAAACCATCACTACAATTACCTTTCATTGCCAACATTGCATCTCCTCTCTGCCATTCTTCCCATTGTTTCTTTCCTTCTACCACTGTGATGTCCTTCCACTTGCGACCTCCCTTTGCCACACACCACCGACTCTTGCAAACCCTCTCCATCCAAGCCCCTGCTGCCATGAGCAACTCCCAGCTACGAACAACCAATCGCAAAACTGCCTCTGTCACGAACAACCCCTATTGCAAACCACCTTCACTATGAACCCTCTTTGCAAGAGAGAGAGAGAGAGATGAGGAAGTGGGGATTGCGATGGTGGCGTTGGTGTGTGGATGGTGAGGCTGTGAAGGGATTAGGGGTGGCAATTGGTGTTAGGAAGTAGTTAAAGGTGACAATTGGCATTGGAAAGGGACAAAGGTGGCAATTAGAAGTGGATAAGGCTAGGGAGGTGGCGACTAGGAAGAAAGAAGGTCACAGTGACACCGACATTGGTGGTAGTGGGTGGTAGCTAGTTAGGGTTAAGGATTAGAGTTAGAGTTTGAATGATGAAAAAGATTAGGGTATTTTTGATATGGTGAGCTGTGTAATGAGTAAAATATGAACTTTTAAAATTCATTAAATGTGCTTCTTGAAAATAGATGTGCACAAAGAGCATCCTATGTATGAAAAAGGAAGGTCTCTTTTAATTTTGTAAAGCCTTCATATAAAATTCTTAAAATGCCCTTGTTTCCATTATTGATGACAAACATTGACGTCAAGGCATAACGTTTAACAAATTATTTGTTGGGGAATTTTCAAAATGGTTTTTAAAATTTATAGTTTAGTTTTTGGATGTTTCCAAAACCTTCCTTGTTTTTCTTTGGAAAGCATTAATTAAGTTTGGGGACTTTGTCCCACATTAAAAAGAGAGCAAAACATGAAGCACTTAATAAAGTGTTATATGGAATATTCTTTTGAATATAGAATTATGGGATGAAAGCTAGTGTGCATGCACCCACAACGCAAGGATGGTGCTTCGCACCATCCGCACACAAACGCACGCGCGCGCGCGTGCGTAGCGTGGGCAGTGGGCTGTGTGGCGTTTGATGGCGCACTTTGCACTTAGCACTTAGCACGGACACATCGGCGCCATGAGGGCGCTTTCCTATTTGCATCGGACAGATTGGAGCGATGATGTGGATCCGGCTGTATTGTCATCCGTTGGCGATGAGTCAACCAACTGATGAAACGGTTGTGTGTCCGATCTAGAGCGGGTTGATCATAGCCGTTGATTGGAGATGTGCGTGATCGTACAGATGAGATGGCACCCAATCCTGATCAAGTGTGATTAGTCAAGGCATCTATTCTGTGTCAGAATAATCCGCACCATAGATCGTCGATCCAATGGTCAGATCTGATCGGATGCGATCAAGGGACATGACCATTCGATCATATCCATTAAGGCCTATAAATAGGCTACGAAATCAGCCATTTCATTCCATCCAAAATCCTAAAAAGCATTCCTGTTGCAATTCTCTCTCCCTCTCCCTCTCCCTTTTGATTTTGAATTTTCGATCAAGAGTTTCTTAAGCAAATTTCTGTTTTTCTTATTGATAATCAAGTTCTGCAGAGTTGATTATCATTGTCTAGGTTTCTTGATTATATCAAGAGTGTTCTGATCTATTGCCATCAATGCAGACGCCGATAGACTAGATCTTTATATCAGGCTTCATTGTATCCTGGAGGCAAATTTGTTGTAACCCCATGCACACTTTTTGGTGGGTACAAATATTGTCTTTAGGAAAGCGACTTAGTAACGCGACTTAAAGCACTAATTTTCTGTTCTATATAGACAAGGTCATTGCCAAATTTTGAAGACCCGAAGACCACCATTTGAAGAATTCAAGACCCTTTGTTCCAACAATCTAAAGACAATATTGGATATGGCGATGTCTATTCAGAAAATGACTCAAGATTTCATGAAGCTTGACCGTTTTGATGGAGGAAATTTCCAACGCTAGCAAAAGAAGATGCATTTTTTTCTCACTACTCTCAAAGTGGTCTATGTGTTAATTACTCCCTATCCGGACACAAGTTCGATTGCTCGTCGGGCATTCGACTTTCGCGGCAGAACGTCACAGATTCGAGCTTTCCAGACCCTGTATCCTTTCTGCCCCATTCTTAGACCATGACCTGGTCCTTTCAGCATCTTTCTCCTAGTGCACTGCCGGCCATGGTCTGGCACTGCCAGCCATGGATTTGTTTCTGCCGGCCATTGAGTGAGCCTGTCAGTCATCACTGATGGCCGGCAGAACCCCTGTCTCAGCTGGTTTTACTCCAGATATTTTGAGCCAGCTGGAATCCTTTTATCTGCCCTCCATACACGTGTATGGAGAGATGAAGCTCTTGCCAAGCTTCTTGAAGAAGCTTTGCATTGCTTTCCTTCTATATAAGGAGAGAGCCTTTCTCCTTAGAAGAGGTTCAGCCTTTTGAGAAGGAAAATCTCTCTCTCTCTCTCTCACTCTCTCTCTCTCTCTCTCTATATTGTTGTCCATTTGTGCTTTGAAGTCCATTTTCCTTGCACTTTTACACTACAACACTTAGAGATACACCACCACCTTTGGGTTGAGGTTCTTGGGAGGACTTCTTGAGCTCTGAAAGTAAGTTTTTGGCCCCTGAAGTTGCTTTTCTCGAAGTGGTTCTTCAAGGGTAACTTTTTTCCCCTTTTTAGCACTTTCTTGTACCTCCTTTTGGCCATACTTGCATGATGTTTTAGGCCTTGCTTTCAACTGAAAAAAGTCTTGTATTTAAGTGCTTTTGAAGTTTGCTTAAGATCTTTTGACTGTTGGGGATCTTCAACCCTCTTGTTGGCCTTGTTTGGCCTTGTTTTGAGCCATGCCTTAAGGCCTCCGAGCTAGCCTTAGTTTGGCGTTCTAACCACTAAAATCTAGTGGATTTTCAGTGGTAGGCATGAGGTTTTGAGGCCTCAAATCAAAGGGGGTGGCCCCCTCTCTTTTGGTTCTTGTTTGCTTGCATTTTTGGCCTTCCAAAGGAGCATGCCTTTATGTATTTTTTAGGCTTGGTTCAGGCCTTTTTTTGTGACTTTTAGGACCTGCCTTGGCCCTGTCCATGGCTGGTTTGGTCACATTTTGCATGCATCTTGTATGTGTAGTGTAATCCCATTTGTAGCTCATCAAAGTAAGCATGTTTGCTTAGCCTGTGTTGAGTCCATTTCAGTAGGTTTTTGGTGATGTTTTACCATGCCTTAGATCTGTTTTGGGTTGATTTTGTCACTCCATACATGTGCAATACACTTGTAGTATAAATCCCATAAACTAGCTTTATATGCTTCTTGTTTTAGCATGTTATCCTAGCTTATATTGAGCCCATTTCAGCATATATTTGGTCATCATTTGGCAGGTCATGACTTTATCTTTTGCTGGTTTGGTCATATTTTGCATGCTCCATGTACTTGTAGAACAAATCTTGCTTAATAGCTTTATGTGCATGATGCTTTGACTCATCATCTTAGCATATTTTAGCTTAGCTCCAGTATGATTTTGTCTTTATTTTGGGCTGTTCTCGGAGTATTTCGGGCTGCCATGACCATATCACTCATGCTTTGTATAGCTATAGTGTAAATGCTTAGGCTAGTTTTGGGTTTTGAGGCCCCTACCATGTCATATATTTGATGTTTGCATGCTTTGCCATCATCTCATATGTTATTTCAGTCCATGAAATGTAGTCATACACTTGCATTTGACATGCTTTTAATGCCTTAGAGCCTTGGCTCTTTATGCCTCAAGAATGAACTTTTGTGCATGCCATTAAGCCTAAGCCTTTGACTCATCATATCAGTGCATTTTTGGTCTCGTCATACCATGATGTAACTCTGTTTTACGCTGTCCAAGTCATGCCATGTTTGGTTCTAATAGTTATAGTGTAATGCCTCTTTATAGTTGTGCATGTTCCATGTTTTCGGACTTGTGTTCTAGCTCGTGTTGACTAGCTTCGAGCTTGTTTTTGGCCTTGTTTGGACCTGCCTTGGAACTGTTTTAGGTCCCCTTGGCCCTTTGGAGCTTGCTTTGTATAGCCATGACTTAAGTCCCTTTACTTATTTTGAGCTTTGAGCATCCTAACATGCCATACTTGCATTGTTGAGTTGATTTGGCATCAATTTACATGAGATTTCAGTGCTTAGGATGCTGTCGCATATCCATGCTTATCACTCTTTAAGTGTCCTTAAGAGTTGCATCCTTGTGTCTTAATCCTTGAGCCAATTGGCATGCATGTTTGTCTCGCCATTTCATGTTTTTCATACCACTATTCCAACACTTTTGGCCATTGATTTAGACCTATTTGAGAGCTATCCATTTTAGTTTAAGTCCATCTCCTTTGCATGTTGTTGCATACTTGCATGTTTGCATGTTGTTACATGCTTAGCTATTTTGTGTGTTGTCGCATGCTCGTTATATCACATGTTGTCACATGTATTGATACATGATTGCATACTTGTTGCATGCCACGATGTTTACATGTTTAGGTTGCATTACCTTGATTGCATACACTGTATTGTATTTGGCATGCTTGCATCGCATTGTTGTTTGGGTTAAATGTTAATCCGGACACGAGGAATAAGGGGCATTTCATACTTCAAGTGATGGAACGTGTTTCAGTTCTCGGTCGCGACGCTCTTGATTATCTATGATAGAGTTCTAGGCACTTATGTGTTTATTTGTGCATTCATTTCATATTGATTTGCATAAGTTGGATCATTAGCCATCATGCATCGGGATGCGTGATTAATGGTCATGGATCCGATTATGCCTCCCCCTTGATGTTTTGAGGTGATTTGGAGTGGCATAGTGCATACATACCCTTGGGAGACCCTCCATTTTCTCTATTT